GGCTTTCATTTGCCATAAAGCTCAGTTTTATATCATTTGTAGTTGAAGCTGTACCTCCATGAAAAAATACTATTTTCTACCATGTACATTATTTTTCCTATTTGTGAAAAAGTAAAATTTCCTTTGTTGAGTTCATTGGTGCTACTTAACACAGATTCTTCCTGACCCTGTTCTTATAGATATAAAACTTGAAGATGCCTCTATCATTGATAAAAAAATCAGCTTCTTTGCTCGAGCCATAAGGAAGATATTTAATTTTTTTTGGGTAACATGACTTTTGGGCCACCCTGTATATAGTTCTTTTTGGATTTTTCATATATGCTCAAGCCAAAAACATGATGGAATACTATTTAGATCCTTTGAAAAAAACAGTCTTAATATATAATTTGTAATACAGAAGACATACCACACAGTATATTGTCGATAACAAGTCTTCATCTAGTTTTATTTCACTTTTAGTCGTATCAAAATAAAAAGATTTGTGTATTAAAATCAAATGTTAATCGACAGATAGTTTACAAGAATGTAACGCATTTCAAATGCACAAATTTCATCCGCCAATCGATTTTCTCTAAAAATTAAAGAAAGTAATGCATTTTGATATAGATATACCTAATCTCTGCAGGGTACTGTCTGCGAACAAATTATTTAGTAAACATATCTTTAATTAAAAAATTTACTTAAGAAGATGATAAGAAATCTTATCATGGTTGAGAATAAAATAACAAAACAACCAGCTGATCTACACTGTTAAGCAAACCTATGCATTTTTATAAATTTTTTCTCACTTGTCAACAAAAAGTGTTTTTTCTTTACAACTGGGTATTTTACGACTCAGCGTTAACGTTAATAAACAGAATGATAGAACGAAATAAAAATGTAACAACATGAAGGTGTACATGTGAGTAAAAATGTGCTTGTTACAATAATATTTTCAGTTTCTATGTGTCGTCTATTACGATGAAAGTTGATTGTGAAACAGCAGATGACTTTAATAACTTGCTGTTGTCGATTGTTCGTCAAGGAGATGTTAACTTATTGGAAAGTTCTTTATCAACAGTGGCAAACCCTAATTTATACTTGAATCGATTGTATGATGAGACACATTCGCAAAAATGTACTCTTCTAATGCTTGCATATGTAAATGGGCATAAAGATATGGTACGTATGTTGCTTCATCGTTACGAACCAGATCTGGAAGTACTGAATAATATATTTTTTGGGGATGCAAATCCAAGTCGACAAATATTTTTGAATGTTTCGGTGCTATGGGTAGCTACATCGACCAATGATTTCGAAACAGTAAGATTACTAGTCGAACATGGAGCCAATGTAAATCACCGAACTAAAACAAATTCAACACCATTACGTGGTGCTTGTTATAATGGTAATGTAGACATGGCTCGTTATTTAATTGAAAATGGTGCAGATGCACATCTTGCCAAAGATAGCAATGATACGAATCTAATGGTGAGTGTATGTCGTAAGCATTTAAACATGGTTACTTATCTTGTTGATGAGTTAAAGTGTGATGTAAATGAGTGTGACAGTAATGGCCGTTCAGCACTTTACGACGCTGTCACTTGTGGATCAATTGAACTAGTAGAGTTTCTACTCGAACGTGGAGCTCGCAACTTTCGGGCTGTAGTCGATCAAATGTCTCCACTAATGTGGGCAGCAGAAAGAAGACGTTCAGATCTTGTAGATGCTATTTCTCCTTACTGTTCGCTACTTGAAAGGATAGAAGCTCAAGAACTGCTTGCCAGTGCTTTTATCTGTGGTAGTCGTGATGATCATGCTTTTGATCAATCATTTAAACATTTTTCCCGAGCATTCGAGCTAAGAACGATTCATAATCTTTCGAAAGCTACGAAATCAGCTACAAATAAAATTTTCGATAATCGACATGAGTGTCAAACAATCGAGCAACTCGAAGAAATACATTCGAATACAGATCAGTTGTATATCGAAGCTTTGCTGGTACGTGAACGATTGCTCGGTTCGACTAATGAAGAATACCGTTATTCACTATGTTATCGTGGTGCTATTCTAGCAGACAAAGGACAGTATGATCAAGCAGTTGCTTATTGGATATATGAATTTGGCTTGTGTCAGCAATATTCAATTTCAATTGATCCAAAATATTTGCGGCGTTTTGCAGCACTTTTTAGTGGAATGTTATATAAGACAAAATCTATACCCATGGAAGCTTTGTTTACAATAATAAAAGCAACAACAGAAGAGCTCGAGCATGACAAGCAAAATTTCAATGATAATTTGTCTACTTTACTGTTTCTGATAACAATTGTGGGTCAGGTAAAATTTTGTTTACAAATAAATATTCTTTATATTATTTCAATAACGTTTCCTCTAGTTTTTAATAAAAAACATTGCTTCTACAGCAGATTGCAGAATATTCTTTTCTCTTCTTCATTCTATTTGTTGCCGTCATTATACTAAATTAGACTCGAAAATGTCTTTATTACATCTCGCCTTGAATACTCAAACATGGGTCGATGATTATCATATTAAACGTATTTGCAAGTGTGTTGCACATAATAGAAAACATTGAATTGTATGTTTTATTGCAGATATCCGTGTTTTCAAACAACTCGCATCCTTTTACAATGCGGTGCTTCTGTAAATGCATTCGATATCATAAAAAATACACCGCTACATGTAATTGCTTCTAGTAAATCTTCATATGATGAATCTATATTAAAACTTCTCTGTGATGCTGGTGCTCATCTGGATTTTGTTAATGCTTTTGGGGAGACACCAATCGATTTAGCAACAAGGCCAGATATCAAGCAACTACTGAAAAGTAGAATGAAACTTAGTTTAAAGTGCCTATGTGCACAGTTGATTCGAAAGAAAAATGTACAATTTCATGACCAAATTGCTGTTTCACTTATTAACTTTGTTGAAAAACATTGATTATTAAAGACTAGAAATCATATTTTCATCTTTTTAAATCTTAAAATACATATGAACTACGTTGCATCATCAGTTTCTATATCTAGTAAGTTTGTCATTCCACTAATTTAAAATAGAAAATATAACTAATTTTAAACTAACTAATATTTCTGGCACGAAAGATCACAGACAACAGGAAATTTAATTAAATAAAACATGAGTCTAACAATGATAAATCAACTGCCACTTGTAAATCGATTAGATTGAATAGAAAATGACATAGAACGTAGCAAAATATGTTTTTTTGAATTTCGATGGATCAAAGTATATATTGTAAACTGATCGATTCAATAAATACTAAAAATTTAAAGATTTCTAGAAGCCTTCAATGACTATTCTAATAATTCAGACATATTTTCACATGATAGGAAAATGTTTATAGCACAAGAAAATTGTACTTTTTGTATATGTTCATTATAATCATTCAAAATCATATTGCATCTTCTAAGAAAAAAAGAAGCATTACCAACAATAGCTTTGTCATTGAATTATTTAATAGAAAAAAAAGCATTTACGACAGTATAATCTATCAATTACACACACATGTTCGATTGATTCTAATGTGACATCGACAAGATTCTTCGTCAATGCCGATGTGTTAATTCAATAGTGCTATTGAGGATGAATGTCCATCTATTGCTATATCATACTCAACAAATTACGTTATGAGTACTGTAATTAATATTAACAAGACTATTCAATGAAGAATCAAAATTCACACTAGCAGGATGATTTATTATTGAATAATTGTACTCTAGTCCATTATCATCAGTAATCATAATTACAAATGATGTGACTGACGCATAACTCATTATATGCTGATTGCCATAGTCTACTATGTACAATGTGCTTGAGTTCAAATCTCACAGTATATTCAACGGTCGATCCAGTTAAGAAAGCAAGTATCGAGTAGTGCCTATCAACATAAACGTACATTACTGAAATTTCATTTATCATTGTGAAACTTATGACGCATACCTATTCTAGTTCTCATGAAGAGATTTTTTTTTCTTTTTTGATGGGAAAAATTAAAGTGACACGTTGAAATATGTTTGGAGCTCAGTCACTGATAAACGTTTTCAGTTTGATGCTATTAAGTCTTCTTGAATGGAAACTTGCTGTTCCACTACTTTAATTGAAATACGCACTTATTCAAGCAATCTTATTGATCGGTCAAAGCAGTTAAACAACTTTTATGAAGTGACATTGCGCGTAGCCCTTTGAACAGAACGAAATCCACAAATTTACTGAATCTGTTATATTGACATTTCTATTTCAATTAGCCAAAATGCTAGCAGACAGATTTAAAAGATCCTAACTAGGACATCATGTTACATTTGCTAGACTGACCTCAGTTATATTGCTTGACATGCCGAAAGAAATAAAATGGATTTTGTCGTATAGATGCTTCAAGCTGGTATTTTAAAAACCTATCGAATATATGTGAAGGACAATTTTCGAACATGAGTACTTACAATTTAGTTTTGTCAAATATCTAAGCTAAATATGAACTAATACTCTTCTATAAAAATAATCTTTTCAATTCATAAAAATATAATACTTGACGACTGTGTTTGTTACATTAATATTTGCTACTATTTTTTAAAAAATTGAAAATAATATTTCTTTTTTATTTAAGAAAAAAATACTTTTGAACGTCTCTAGTCTAAGAGAAAGCTTTGCTTGAAATTCAGATGCTATGTAAAGAGCTTATTTGATAAATATGACATTTGATAATTACCTGCTTCATGTGATAAAGTCAACAATTAGCAATTTTTTCAAAGGTTCAACAAGCAAAACTTCGTCATCACTGTATCGTCTTCAAGGACGCTGACGAATTTTAGTGCTAGTTTTCGCCAGTTGATGGTAGATATTGCTTTAAAAATCATGAAATTAAAGTGAAATTAAACTTGAACCAAGTCACATCAATCGGTACTTTGATTTTAGCAAAAGTCTTAGATTACAGTAGCACATTAAATAGACTATATGTTGACACAATAAGGAAGTGCTTAGTGAAAGTGTTCATTCTCTTTATCAGGTACTTTTAATGAACAATAACTTTCTTAGTACACTTGAGTTTAAAAATGTTAAAATGATAGATGAAAATGCAAAACATATTGCTGAAATGATCAATATAAACAAAATATTAACATTATTTTTATCCTCGTGAAAACTACATGTTTCCATCGTTATATTGAACGCATATTTTTATCGAACAATGAACTTTATTGTTTGTAGATACTTCTCTTCATGATAAGTTAACTTTTGTTGCTTTTGCAACGTAAGGTATCTATTGTCGACAAGAACAATTTTCATGGCTATTTCGTATTCTGCAAATATCGATGTGAACATATCAATACGACAATATTATTGAATACAAACTTGAGAATTCTAATATATTAGAAAAATTTCACTGCAATTTATTTTTGAGAAAATAAGTA